AAATAATGTTAGCATTGAATGGAAATAACAACTAAATTAAAGTAGACATTAGAGGAGTGTCTGGTTGTGGTCAGGGGTTGTCATACCTGTCCTCATCGTCGTTGGTCTTGTTGGCCGACACGAGTGCTCTGTCTCTGCCGTTGTTGTGGCCGTCGTTGTCGTCCTTCGAGTCAAACTCGTCCTCCGTTTTGCTGTTGTCGTCGTTTTCGTTCAAATCATTCTCTATTGGGATGTAATCACAGACAGACAGTGAGACACACATGGGGTGAGCGGATGGCCGCGACCTCCGGAGCCCATGTCTTACCGTTATTGCCATTCAAAGAGCTTTTGTCGGCGTTTTGCTCGTCAAACGCATTGAGACTAATGTTGGAGTCGTCGGCGAAATCACTCATCTTTGATGACTACTTCTTCAGCGCAATCGACAGAGTGTTATGTGTTGTAGTGGTTGTCGCGGTTGGGGTTGTGGTCGAGGGTTGTGGTAGTGATCACTGCAATGGATGTCAATCGCAATCAATAGGTTATGATATTTGGACACAACAGACAACGGATTCAACACAACAGACAATACGAGCCAACGATCACAACAAATATGGCGATTGTGTGTCGGTTTAGAGCCAAACGCACACAACGTTACCAAATGAGTGCCGCAAACACTCCCCTCTTTTCCCCGGCTTTTCACTCCTTTTGTCGCCCAAAACGCTGTTATACCAAATGGTAACCCCTTTTTACACCCCTCTCCACCACAACGCCCACCAAAAAAGCGTCACGTAATACGCGAATCGAGCCATTCTTTCCGCACCACCGGATCGAGCGGCGAGTTATCCACAAATAACGTACAAAAAAGTATTTGCAAACAAAAAGTTGTGCTAAATATTGGCTTTAGTTTCACAGAAACGACAAAACCATTGCATTTATTGACCAAAATTAGGCGATAATTAAATTAAAATAAAGTTAGAAATAATTGGAAAACAACACAAAGTTTTGTTTCAAAGTTGAATATATTTTATAATCGATTCTTATTATTGAACTACAAATTGCTTTGAAAATCAAATCAAAAAATACTGTATAAATAAAATGAATTTATACTGTATTTACAGAAATCGACCTTATGTTTTGTTTTATTATTAGTAATACATTAATTAATTTTTGTCATATAATAAGTTTGATAAAAATGATTAAAATCATAATATTATTTCATATAATTGTTTCTCAATATATACTAAAAACAATTAAAAACTTTGTTTTTCACTCATTTCAATGAAATTTTAACCGATAATTAATATATAAAAAAAGATATAATAATAATAATCATAGAGAAGACGACGAACTCAGAGCTAAATATTAATTAATAATATTAAAAGAAATCATAAATAATTTTCATCGGAACGGATGACAAACTCATAGCAAATGATGTCTTATTTAAAGTCTTCAAAAATTACACTTAAAAATACAATTGTTTTAAATAGTTATCCGAAGACTTCGACGCTTTTATGGAATCTTGTGCTCAATAATTGTTGAATTATTTCATTATATGAATCAAAATGAGGAAAATATTAGAAATATATGGGAGGCAAAGGGGGAGGAGAGGGGCAGATGGGCCGGAGTTGCTATTATCGTAAAAACGTTCACATTTCAGGTTTCAATAAACAAAAAAGAGAGAGAAAGAGAAAAAGTGTTGAAATTAATAATATAAAAAACGAGAAATCAAACTACAGATACAATGAATATATTTAAAGTTTGATTAAAAATGTTTTTTAGAGTTGTATTGTATCGTAACTAATAGTTTGCGGGATAATAATTAGAGTTTGTGTATGTTTTGTAAGGGTAGGCGCCGTACTGGCCTTCCTGACCGAATCCTGAACTCTTATTCCAGGAGCCGTTCGACCGGTCGCTATAGCCGGCGGACCAACCGTTTCGGTTGCCATAGCTTCCGCCGCCACCGCCGCCGAAGCTCTGTTGCCCGTTCCGCGAGCCACCGGCACCGCCGTGAGCACCGCCGGCACCCGCGCCACCACCGCCTGCGCCCCCTTGGAATCGCGGCGGCTGTGCTTTTTTGATATCGCACTCCTTGTTGCCGACCAACTGTTTGGGCTCAGAGACGGCCGCTTCCGCTGCCTCTTCGGTGTCAAATATGATGAAACAAAACTCACGCCTTCGACCCCTTTGCTTGTCGAATGGGCACTCAATTCCCTCCACCTAAACACCACAACCAATACATCAATTAATAACACTCTTTACAAAACACCGGTTATAGTGCTGGCGTTCATACCGTTCCGAAGCGCTCGAAATAGGCCTTAATGTCATCCTTAGACATATCGGCGTCCACTCCGCCGACGAATATCTTTTTGAACGCGGGTTTAGTTCGGGGTCTCTTCGGGTCAACGGCTCTGTTCTTAATCATATGCGGACCGCCGGCCAACACCTGATCGATCGACGACTGGTTGTTAAACGTTATGAACCCAAAGCCGCGCGGCTTTCCGGTCATACTATCGTATTTGATGTTCACGTTTGCGATTTGACCAAATTTGCTGAAGTAGTTCAGGATATCCTCTGAAATAAGACAAACACAACAACATTAGTACACCAATGGACGCAACGCCGGCTCATCAATGCACTGGCAGTGCTCTCGATGTAGACTTACGTTCTTCGGTATCCCAACTCAGTCCTCCTAAAAACAGTTTCCTATTAATGATAAACACAATCATTAGAACACAATTAATGGAAATTCTAATCAATATTTATCTTAAATATTATTAAACGAAAAGAAAACAAACATAAAAATTAAAATAAAAGCTAAATATTAACGATAATTAAAGTATATATAAAAAGTGATGTAAAGCAAGCCTTAGACAAACTATCAACTGATTAGTCCATTAGTCCTACCATTTGGTAATTCATACCAAGGAAGTGATAGTAAGTCTGCTGTCTGTGTGTGTCTTAAGGGCCAGAACGCCTCGTAGTTGGTCTAACTGTGCGGACCAATCAGTGTGTGTCTCAAAGACATGTGTCTCTCAACACAATTAGTGACAATCACATCAAAGTGATTGCCAATCGTTTTTTGCCTCTCATTTCCCACTCAAATAGCGGTCTCTCTTATAATCCCATAAGAGGTGTCACACAATTCAAAGCCTGCAAAACATTTGGGCAAACATTCAAACCATTATTAAAATACATTGTCTAATATGAATGTCCAAATCGGTTATACATTACATCCACAATAATATATATCACTAATTATCATATCATTACATGAGTTGTGCTCACTATTTATGTACAATTAGTTATACAACTAAACTGAGAATAATTAACATAAATTAATCGTTAAACTCTATATCTTATACACGTTTTGAATCAAATGTCTAATCAAACAAATCATACAACAAATGATTGTGATTTCAAACCTAAATATAGAGAAAATATTAATAAATTACAAATAAGTACTAAAGAAGAAAAATAGTTGTAAAACAAGAAAATCAAAATCAAAATAAAACTCGTGATCAGTATTTCGGCGGAGAAGACATGACATGAGAGCACAACTCAATCACAACCATTCAGACAGCGATTGTGTCCTAAATCACACCAATGGTTACAATCACAACATATACCGCATATCGAGTATATGTGTATACAATTACATACAGATTACATGTATAATCATTAATATTCAAGTAATTAAAAATTAATGTCTAGATTGGTGTTAATGATAGGGAGAGGTGATAGACATGGAGTAGTGGTAGTGATTGGCAATGGTGTGCATACCTGTCCTCATCGTTGGCTTTGGCCAACCCATTGGCGGCCGACACGTCCCCCATATTGTCGTAATAGTCAGCCATTGTATGTCTTATACTGTTATGAGAAACACAATTAACACAAATAAATAGACAAATGAATGCTTCGTTTCGACGGACTCAACACTGAAGACGTGTAGTGAAAGCGATAGTAATATAGACGAGAGAGAGAGAGAGAGACGACTATAGCCTATGAGAGAGAGTGTGTGTCATATACTGTACGCTAAACTATTGCAGTAATTGATAGCTTATTATAGCGGAGTAGAGATGAGAGTCAACACAAACCACTCATTCAAATGGCGATTCATACCAAAGGATACGGATATTCAATGCATACAAACGAATGCCTCAATTCATACCATTAGTCACATATGAGGCACACAGAGGGCGACTCACATCCCATACAACCCATTATGGCATTCAAAGGCATTTATCCCATAGTTTTTACCCATCATGAAATGAATACAATTTTTAACAACTCGTTTGTCATTTAATTTTCATCAAGTTTTCATCAAATTTTTAAATTTTTTTATCAAATGCCTTGTATTTAAAAATTTTGACCAATTTTTGTTGCAAAATATTTGTTAATTAATGATTAGACTTATGATGAATGGTGTCTGACATTGACTTTCATTGCATTTTTCATTACAATTATACTTTTTGAAAACTTTTTATAAATTTTAACAAAAAAGTTTTTTTTAATGATGCGATAGTTTTTGAGATGCAATTAATGTTGAGAGCAAAACACAATTCATTCATATTTATCGTTAAAGAAATGTTATTTTCCATAATTATAGCAAATAATGCGATAAACATATGATAACGAGTCTAATCGCAGGTAATCGTTGGGATCAATGCGTCAAACCTCCCACTCATTCAACTACTGTATATTATGCTTACCATTACTTAATTGATGTTTAGTTACATTTTATCTGATATTTCCTAATGTTATGTAATAACCATATAATACATGAGTTTAATTATGCAATCAATTAAAACAATACACAAAGAGAACAGCATTTTATAGTCACTGGGGTTTTAAGAGCCGGTCATATAAGCCATGCATTGAAAAGACTGTAAAGATTTCACATTTAAATATCAATTGATATTTAGTTTGAGAAAAGTTATGATAAAAGTTTAGATCAGTATTTGACAACTGTTTGGTCAATAAAAACACAAATGTTATGCTTTTGAATGTAATTAAATGTACAGCGAATTGATTACATCATTATTTATTGAGTGCTTTAAAGTTAGGTGTCGTTCACGTGACCCACAAGTCATTGAATTGACCATTAAATTAACAATTGGGTGAAATGACCGCCGAGTTGGACACCGTTGCCGATAGGGAGTCGTCCGATCACCTGTTGTCGAGTCTGAAGAAGCAGTTGTCGTCCAAACTATCGCTTCTGGAGAAGAGGAATGAGATTTTGGGCCAATTGTGCGGAAGTAATGTCACCAAAAATGACAACTCAGATGTATTGATGGCTGAATGCAATCGATTGGCGATTAAAGCGAAAGCCATTCACGCAAGACATGGAAGGTTTGCCAAACGGGATCTGATTTACACCGAAAGTTGTTTCCAATCACTGCTGGAATCGGCTAAAGAAGTGCCGGCATTCAAGGCATGCGTTCACACCTATGTCACAAATGGTGAACAATTGAGGGCTCAAAACGTGATCAACGAAAATGTGTTGAATTTATTGCGCAAAGAATTGCAAGAATTGGAGAAACAAAACCATTTATTAAGCAAGAGTTTGATTCAATTGAGACACAAACAATGGTCTCGTAATTGTGGCCTAACTATCATCAAAGCTAACGGACAGATCGTGTCCGCGAAGAGACTTAAATTGCTTTAATTAAAGGTTTCTTAATCTCTAAACATGTCTTATTATTGCAGAAGAGATTAACAATTGTAATATGTTTTACAAGAATTTTATGTGTGAATTAACAATGTTTGCAATAAAACATAATTATTATCTTTGAATACATTTTAGCGAATAATTATAATTTATAACTTTATAAATGAGACAAATAAAGCATTTTTAATACTTTAATACATTGTATTTACATTTGATTAAGAGTTAATAAAATTTAATCCATAAAACAGTGTTTAACTAATAGATGAGCGTAAAAATCACTTATTGTATAATTTAATTGTTTTCAAAATGCAAATATGTGTGAAAAATCAGTGCATTTCTATTCAAAATATCAATTTACAGATTTCTGTATCACTAATACTAGTAATTGTCATAATATTAAAATTACTTTTGAATTAATTTATTTTTTTTTATTTGTTTGAATTCATTTCATTCAATCGGAAAATATCTCGTTATTTCAACACCTAATTAAAAAACATCAAATATTTTGTACAAACTTCAAGTTTATACGAGTTTTTATGTGAAATCATTGTTGAGTTATATTAACCCAATTAAAATGGGGATAAACTCCTCACTATTTAGTCTCATATGTTGTCATATGTATTGATTTAATTGCTAATAAACATTGAGTTATTAATATTACAATGGATTTGACAGCATTCGCACAGGCATTGAGAATCCCAAGGCTTAATACAAAGGCGACAAAATATATAACAGAATACACAATATTGTCATCAATATTGTAAAAATTACTTAATTAGTAAACTAAATGTCATGTCTTTTTCATTATATATTTTAATATAAAGTCTTTATTTGAAGAGCTAATTAATAATTATGCGAATCTACTAAACACTGGGAGAATATTGTTTTCCGAGATTTTATATGCAACAGTATTTGTCAAACGCCTAAAAGAAGGAAAAATTATTTGTTTTTTATGCGTTAGTCTAAGAATGTAATACAGTATATATTAAAATTATGTACATTAATAGTAAGAATGTGTCTATCTTTTGATTTAAATGTTTGGATATTAATATTATGCTTGAATTGATATGTATTGAAAAATTGTTTTATATTCTTGCAAAAAATATCTATCATTTTTGATATACATTACTCTTATGACGAAAAACCAGTTTATTCTGGTTCTGGTTCTGCACATCGACTTTAAAATAGTCTCTGAAACACGTTTTTCGTACGAATTCTGTGCAGTGTTTCCTGAGAGCAGTGTTTTCACCATAAGATTTCATTATTAGACCATTAATGTGGAAATTATATTTGAAAATTTAATTCTAATCTATTTATTGTAATGTATTTTATGGTTAATGTTCGGCCAAAACATTTAAATATACAGTAGAATTATTTTTAATAAGATATAAGACCTTAAAATGTATATAATATCGTTATAATGCCATTAATGAATCTAATTTTGGTCGACTTATTTCCATACAACATAAATTATATTAATTTTTAACTTAAATAAAAATACAAATTTAAACACTGAAATTTCATAAATCTAATGCATGAAAATTATTTTTAATTATAGAAAATAATTACAAACATTGCATAAAGTGTGAAACGAATGATATAATGATTAATTCGTGTATTAATCTCTAATATTCTGTATTTCTCTTTCAAACATCAAATATAATTTGTCAAAA